GCGGGGGGGGGGGGAGGGCGAATTTATGTTTTCATTCAGAGGAACCTATCACATGTGTAAATATTTATCAACTAGCTGCCTCATTCATCCGGCACTCAATGACATGCACCATTATACTGTGCGGACAATACAATCTGAGATATACTGCAGATAGTGGAACGCGGAGGTCATAACCAGTCACCAGACACCGCTTTTCTCACGGTGACTGGTAAAACCAAATGACGCAGTCCGCACTCCCACAGTCAGACACGGGACTGTTTGATTATCAGTTTGAAATATTTTATGATATCCTTGGCTGTTGTCCAACTAAGTTATGCTAACGCCTCTGGGATGACTACAGTACCAGTCTACTGATCATCTGGAAGACTTAGGGCGGTCAGCAAGTTCTTGATTCTCACTCATACCAGCTGGGAAATTGCCGCTGGTCCATCCGCGTGATCGACCAAGGAACCGGATCGATTCTTTGTGTTTGTCAGATCCACACCTGTCCTGAACAAAATACCTTATGCTTGTACAGGGCTTTTACTAAACATTGATTGTCGAGTGTAAATTGCTCTTTTGGTAAGCTCACAATCAACTTTGATCGATCGATTGACCACTATCATAGTACAGATTCAAATAAGAAATGAATTCAGAGGTATTAAATACCTGTTAGAATTATATCTCTTCATTGTAGATATATTATAATATGGTTTTGAAGGCAGTCGGGGTCTATCACTAACCCTAGATGAATTTGCTAGTAAATCTAATCTTTTATATGCTACTAATACCCTAACACCACCCAAGGTCAAAAAAACAGAGTAGGTGTTACAACATGGAAACGCTTTGAAAAATTGCGGTTTTTTTTATACCCTTTACAATTAATTATCTGATTAAAACTCACTGCGTAAAAGCTCACTATTGCTTGTGGTTAAACAAAAAATCTGTCGAGTAGACAGACCTCTTAGCAGGTGAGGCAGTACCAGTCTCATAATCTGAGTAATTTCTGTATCGGTAAGACTTACCCCTCCAAGTTGGCAAACATCACGGGTGTTCGAATCGGAGCAGATACCGCACTAGGTCCTTCTCCGAATATATTGATTGGTGTCACTCGGTAGATCAATTGCATACCAGCTTCCGGTTTTTGATCTATCACCGTGTGCGTTTCATGTTCCGCAACGGCCACCTGACGCCATGGAGCCATATCGCTCAGTGTGGTTCGAGCCTCCACACGATAGTGTAGGTCACTCCAGTTACTTTCATGTTCGTTTCCTGATCCTCTACGGGGAGCGAACAAATTGTGCTGTTCAGCCGGTGTCCATTGGATCACATGCTCTACCGAACTGGACGCGTTCGGAACAGTGGTCGGTTGTGCACGCACAGTGACAGTGGTCGGTGTTGTGGGGAGCAATTCGCTCAGCGGTGGAATACGCAACATTCTGTATGCATCAACCCATACACGACGATTTTTTCCCTCGTTCAGGGCCAGTACCCGGAAGTACTGTTCCGTCTTGCCTGGTCTCACATCCAACACACAGTTCTCTCCGTAAATCAACGACTCATCCACATTGACCACCCGCCATACTTGATTCTGATTGGGGAATGAACTACCGTAACCCGGTGATGGCAGACCCCGTTCGATACGATATCGAGCATGCGAATCCGGATTGTTTTCGGTACCACTTAGTAGACCAGTGTCCACATA